TTCTGTTCTGTTTGGTAGCAAAAAAAAGTATCTTGAATATGGTAAACGTTATACCATTTGAAAGGCATGCCCCAGGGCTCTGTCTTAGTATCACTGTAATTATTAATTTAAATCAATAATGGTCATAATGTTCCCAAGCAAGTGTTCATCTAGATGCCGATGATACTCTTATGTATTGCTCCACTGTCCGTCTCTTATAAAATGCTTTTCATAAATCAAAATTGACAAACTAAGACAAAGCCACTATGCCTGCCGTATGTTAAAAAAACGCAGGGTGATGTGGTTGAGCCTTTCTGTCAATACCAATGGTTTTCAATCTGTAATTGATAGTATTAAGCTTTACACCGAGTAATGCATAAACACAGTGAGGTGTTTTAGGCCCATAACATCTCTTCCAAAGTTTTGTGGAAGAAGGAAAGGTCTTATGTGGAGAAAAGGAAAGAGTTGTGAATGCTAATTTTGTATTTACATTTTCCAAAACCAAGGTCAAACATACTATTCGCTAATACTGTGGTTATGTCTTTTCTGTTTGGTTGTACCTGTTAGCACCCATATATGTACAAAGCTGTTTCCCCCTTCCTTATCAATAGACACTTTGGGCTCTATTTTTGTACCCGCCAGTGGTGTGGCGCACCCCACGCAGTGGTATAATTTTTTGTTTTAATCACAAAAAAGTGTTGGAATGTAAAAAAAAAAAAATCTACCTGCTGCATTGGTTACTGTAACTCAATTTTCACTGTTTGAATTAAGTCACTCAGAAAACTGCAAAAAAAAAAAAAAAAAGTGATCCCATAACTGCCCTTCTGAAAACTTTGCCCTGGCTCCTTGTTTCTTTCAGAATTGTTTGCAAAGCTCTTTTAATTGTTTCTAAAGCTCTTTGTGGCCTTGCTCCTCCATACACCATACTCTACTTTGGTTTGCTCGCCAGATCTCTTAGATCCTCAGATGTTTCATTTTTAGCACCAAAACAATAGAATAGGAGAATGGGAATCAGTCAAGGGTGTGGGAGTGACTGTAAAAGCCTGATACTGCAGATCAGCCCTATTATTGCTATTATATTGTATTATTATTAGGTCACCAGAGACTGACTACATAAACAAAGCAGAGGCTTATTAGAGGATGACTAAAGTATGAATGTACCAACAAAGAAATGTGTATTATTCATTAATCTTGACATTCTCTTGTTCTTGTATTTAAGGGGCACAAAAACGTGTGCATTACCTCGCAGTTGCATTTGTATGTCTGCTCCTTAGGCCTTGGTTCACCAATAATTTAAACTAATTTCTTTGAAGGCATCCTTTTTTAGTTAAACCTTCAACCATGTGTTGTTTTTGCTGCTTAGGGCTTGGGGGCGATGGGTCTTTTGAAAAAAATTTTTTTCAGTTTCTCCAACAGGTAAAGCTTCACACATGCTCCTCAAACACTTCCAAAGCATCTATCAGCACGGTATCCTTAATCAATTAAAAAAAAAATAATTCTGCAGTATTTTCCCTGAGATCTGTGAAGTGTAAAGGACAGGTGGATACATAAAATCAGATTACGAGGTGCCTTTATTTGGAAATGCTCTTTCTCACATGATGCAGAGTTTTGATCTTCAGTGCTGCTCCTGCAGAATAATCAGGGAAACAGTAGAAACAAACAGAATAATGAACTGATGAAAAAGCATTATTTCCCCAGCAAACAGACCCTTTGATATTTCAAACAGCAGAACAGATTGTTGGCATGTGACTGGTTTTCATGAAAGTGTGTATAACGTGTTTACTTTGCCTTTGAGAAGTCTGCAAAAAACACTAAATAGGGCAACCCACATGACCCAAAAATACCCACTTCCTTCTCCAGTTCTGTCTGCTCCCCTTCATCTCTCGCTCCCCGTCTCTCTCTCTATCTCAAACGGGAACATTGTATGTGGCCTATCTACAGCCCAACAACCTCCTTTGGGCATTATAGTACACAGGCGCGCGCGCACACACACACACACACATACGACCACACGTCATCCGATGCTCTAGGCACACAGCAGACCCGCAGCAACTTTCAAACTGGCTTAGCATGGCTTAGCACGGCTTAGAAAGGCAGATTGGTTACAGAGTGTCCCTGAACCAAAAAGGCACTCATCCAGCCCCCAATATGGTCAACATTTCCATCAACAGCTGATAAGCAGCTACACAAATGACATTAAACACACACATCCACTCTGCCCTGCCAACTTGCACACTCAAGTTTTCCTAGAACCCATTTTTATTCCAGGACCCTATCAGGGGAAGTCAGCCAGAGTCTCAGCACCCGACCCAGACTGATCAAAACACACCACCGCTCTTTTCTTATAGAAACACACACACACTCGGCCTGTGACCTACATAGCATGGTCTGACTGTGGCCAGGCTGCTTCACAGACACTAACTCCATGTTTGCTGTGAGCTTGCTGAGCTAGTGGTGGTTCAGTCACATTTGTGACAAAGCCAGATTTTGCTAAAGCTATTAACTGGCTCCCTGATGAACACGGGATTGTGTAATGTTTTTAACCCATATTCTGAGAAAACACTGACAGGAGTTGGTGGAAGCAAAAGAGAAACAGATTCTTCTCTTAATTTTGAAGTTGAAATATTCCACTTTTAGAAATTAAATAATTATAAAAGCACTTAAAATGCCCATGATTTTAGTGACAGTATGACTTTAACTGTTTGGCCTTAATCCCCACTTTGCTAAAAATCAGCTTTTTGCTTTGAGAGCATTAACCATTTATCATCTGCACTAAGCAGGATATTGAAATATAAGTGTAGCTAGGGGTTGAAATCAAATTTTATATGAAGGTGGAGCTCTGTGGCCTCAGGGTTGTGGTCAGGGCTCTCGTGTGTGAGAGCATTAACTTTAAAATCTGATTAAAAATATTTGACAAACTGTAACACTATGGTGGAAAGCCCTTCATTTTGAAATCAACTTCAGGAAACAAAAATAAATAAATACATATATATCAATTGTGACAGAGGCAACGAAACACTGAAACAAAACACCCAGAGTACATCTTCCAACTAATTACATAGATTTGCAGCAAGTTAGAAAGATGACTTAGGATCAAAAGAGCATTCAAGATGGGCCAAGTCTCTCAGGATGTTCACCACTCTGTTAGAGACTGCACGAGCAAATTGCTCACTCCAGAGTTGTCTTGTTTCTCTTGTACAAGAGAGACAAGAAGGGAAGCTGTATTTGATTATTGAATAATATTAGGTCACTGGAAATATCTGCTCTTGGGCTTTTGCCCTTTGGTGCCTCTACCTCTCTACTCAGCTGGTGTCAGTGTGTAAATTGTTTACTTGCTTATATTGTAAACCAGATTGGTTCCAAACGAGACTTAGCCCCTGGCACTGGTATAATGCCTGAAATCATCCCTGAGATGGGAAAAAATGCATAAATGAGTTCAGAATCCATGTATATCCACAGTTTCACTTAACAGATAATATGAGGATATGTAGGACATATTCAGTCCAGTATCTCTCATAGCTGGGTAAGCTTACATAGCTGTGGTGGTCAAAACCCACAGAGTCCCTCAAAAGGTCCCTAGTTCCTGAGAAAAGTTCCTGCAGTGGAAAAGCTCTGAGAGTTTGTCAATAATGCAGGTTGAAACTGTAACACACAAAAAAACCCATTTATGAACATTACTTATAAATGCTGGGAATTTCGTTCAGCCCGAGCGACATAAAATGGAAAATCATGGACACTGTGTACTTCAAAAGAAAGATAGACCCACTGAGTTGTCCTCAACACACAGTTCAAAGCTATGATTGGATGATAATGCATAATGCTCATAGTGTGGGTAGGTTATACATCTGGGAAGGCAAAATTTATACTGAACAATGTATACTGGCTTAGGAGAGACATATGCTGCCCCCAGACCTTATTTTTTAAGGGAAAAACTTGCATATTTAAGCAAAACACTACCATCTTCTGTGTATCTTTCAACACGACGGCTCCATTGTAGAGGAGTTCAGGTGCCTGCCTACAGTTACCCATTACAAACACTTGCTGCGTCATAAAAAAAAAATACCACAAAGGTGACTTTGAACAGTTCAGCAACTGAAATCCTTTATCAGGCAAGAGAGGGTGAACATTTCATTTTGAAACTCCAGAAACAGGCCTCCTCTTTCCCCAAATGTTTGCATGCTGTTGTTAAAGAAGAGGTGATGTAACACATTGGTAAACACGCCCCCGCCTCACTCTTTGCGAGCATCAAATTCAAATGAGCATATATGTTTTTCTAAAACTAAAAGGCAATGCCTGAATCATACACAGCCCCTTGTCAGCACTCTGCTGTAGCTATCTGGAGGCTAGCTGTCAAATGACATCAAGGTCACAGCCACATCATCAAGTGTTGACTTTGTAAATGTTAAAAAAGACAAAACATTGACCCAGCAGACACACAGAGGGATGTCTTTTGCACTTCACTGTTGATTTTTGTCATTGCAAAGTGACCGTCTGTTCTTTCAAAGCTTACAGAGGCTCCACAGATGTTGTTTTCCTCTCCTGCAGTCCGGACACAGTTTTAGTTTAGACAGCTCATCAAAATGAGTGACAGGCAGGGCTAAGACCAGCTGAGCCTCACAGAGCACCCCACCAGCAACCGGTGAAAAAGCCACAGTTTGTAGCCTTAGATAAAATATGAAACAACATATCACCTCCATGGGACTATCACACCACTGACTGAATCACTGCTGTCTGTGACCATCTCATTGGAGTAATCGCTGTTAAGCTGTCAGAAGATAAAGAAAGATAAGAAGAACTTTATTGATCCCCAAAGGAAAATTCAATAATGCTGCAGTAAGTCTTGAGTATTTAATCAAATAAATAAAAGTTCAATCACAAGTTCTTTAACAGGCAACTAGCAACCCAAATTAGCTTTCAGCATTATCTTGGAGAGCACGTTCTCATGAGAACTCATCTCTGCATTTGTGTGTCTGTTGTTATTTCTCATACTGTAAATGCCACAGTGGTTTGGATTGAAAATATTTGAGTTGGGCTTAATGAAGAAATAAAAACATCAAGACAATTTCTTGAAAGGGCTCATGACTGTATGTCTGAAGAAAAGCTGAATAATTAAGTCAGTGATATGGAGATGAAACATTAGCATATTATTTCCCTTTTTTTCCTGCTAGGCCCGTTCAAATTTAGAGTTTTTTTTAAGGAGAATAAAGTCAATGTTTACTTTGTCATCAGCTTACACGTGTGTTTTTTAAATCAGTGAAGCAGCATTGATATGGAGGCAACCCCTGCAGTATTGCCAGTGTTATTGTTTGAGAGCCCGACACATAAATAAATCATAGGATGATTTTTTTTCAATTAAAGTTGCTTCTGCTGTGATGAAGTAAAAGTGAGTACAGTCCACAACAACCAATTGAATCCATAGCCTGGGTATGGAAACACCAGCGAACCAGTTGGAGATCCAAATTAACATTAAAGAAAAACAAACCATAATTTTTTTTAGCCTCCTTTACCATGTAATGCAAACATGACACATTTCTAACTCACTCTGAAACCTTGTTGCTTGTTGCTGAAGAAGGATCAGATGAGTTATTTACTTTGAAAATTTGAACAAAAAATGAAAGAAACTTTCAGTCAAAATGATCTGTTTACCTAATGCTCTAACAGCCTTAAAATTCTGTGAATAATCAATCTGGAGTTAAACCCACATATGAATATTATAATATTTAGTTGGATTAGTTCATTTTATATGCCAACATCAATGAAAGAAAGAGCCAGGCCACGGACCGCGTTGAGTCCTTGACGAATAGGTATTTCTGATTTTAATGCCATTTTTGGAATTTATGTTGTGATCTGTGCACACCACCAACCTTTGTCACATGGGTTTTTAAATATATGCAAATTGATGTGAGTGTCTTTATTTGTGGAAAAGGGTGTTTGTCTTACCAGTGTCACACCAAATCCCCTCTGTGCTTAGAGAGTGTGGAGGACGCCCTCCGCAAAGCTTACAGAGACACTTGTTGAGGGCTGCCTCCTCTCACCATCATGTGGCATTGCTGTCTTCAGCCATCTCTTTGACTGCTTCACAAAATTTGCAAATCGCCTCGCCAGCGGTGGATTTAAAGGTGAGGAGAGGAGCCGATGTCATTGGTGAAAACAGCACTCAGCTGTGCTAAACCCACTCCATGCCGTATCCCCTCCCTCTTTGCTACTTACGCCGCTGGGAGGAGCTGTGTTAGGGAGGGGGGATACTTAGGCCAGGCTGCGCTGCTCACCAAAATACCAAAGTGTGCTTAGGCACGCCTCATTGGCGCGGCATACCCCATGCTGCCAGTGTGAAAATAGAGCCCAATGTGTTAATTTCTATCAGCTTCTTTCCTGCCCCCTGCTGAACCACAGGAGGCTGAAATTCACCTCACAAATGCTCCCAGTAGGAATTTGCAGACAGTGAAAATTGCCACCATTCCGCAGTGGTGCCATTCCATATGCGATGGAAAATTGGGGTAAGTTCACATGCAGGATGAGGTTCTGGTCTTTAGAAACAGTTGAGAACAAAATCCAGCTTGTGCTGGCCTTTGTTTCTAAAGAGCCATCAGTGAAGTGGTGAACGCCAATAGCTAGGTTGTCTTTGTGGTGCTGCCCTAAATGGAAATCACTGAAATTGCTTTCTTTTGCAGCCAAGAGGACAACAAAGTGCAGAGAAGAGGAAAAAGCACGGTGGTGAAATGGACTATCCAGGCATTTTCATTTATTTTATTATTATTGTGTCATGCACAGAAAGTGCCTAGCCCGAGTGGGCTTACAAGACACCAAAGAAAGGTAATATAATAGATGACGGACAGATAACAGACATAACAAATTAAGCATATAAGCACTCCTGACATTTTTTCCAGGTTTTAGAGACAAAATAAGCTAATTTAAAGACATTAAAGTTGAACAACCAGTTCATTCTATCATCGTCGGGTCACCAGAAAATTTCTGGGTTTTTAACACACATTTCCATAAATAATGAAGCTCTCAGTTCAGCATACAAAGGGCAATATAACAGAAAATGTGATTCACTTTCCACTTCACTGAGTTTGCATAATTCACACAGCCTATCATCTTCTGGAATATTTTTAAATTTGCCAATTTCAAGATTCAAGGGGAGGCTTCCTGTTCTCAGTTTTGCCAACAAAGACCTTTGGTTTCTTGTAAGGTTTGCTCAAACATGCGGTTCAGGTTCAGGGCCATAACTGTGCTTTAATTGGATGTAAGTTCATAATTTAGATTTCAAAAAAATATCATTTAACCACTTAGTCTCAAACAAAACAAATAACGTACCTCTAAATGAAGTTATTGAGCAGGTTAGGTTATTACTGTAACTATATTGAAGTCTAACTCTGTCAAATAATACAAATATTTCATTAGCCCATGGTGAGCCATTTAGCTTACTCCAAATAAAAGCTCTTTTATTGATTCTGTCTTCTGGCATATTAACTAGACGATTCCACAATCTAATCATCTCACATGTACGTCTTATAGTACCAGGAAGCCAGTCCATGTCACCCTGAACGGCTTGATTTGATGCAAATTTATGAACACCTAAAAAGCTGCGGGCGGCTCTATTTTCTCTGGAGTCTGCTATCTTGGATTCCTTATATCCCCAAACCTCTGAGGCATAATTTAAAATTGGGGAGACACAGGCATCATATAGTTGTGAGTAGGTAGAGTATCCAAGGGATTTACATATCTTAATTTTGCTGACCACACACTTGACCAGGCAAGTGGAAAGTCCTGTCCAAAAGTAGTGTGGACATCCAACACTCAGAGCATGTATATGCTGTTCAAGAAAACTGATTAATCGCCTTAAAAAGAAAAATTAATAATTGAAATGTAGGACCAGTGTCATGGTCCGACTCAAAAACCTTCAGGTCTCTGTTCAAGTCTGTGTGCTGTTTGAAACTTAGCCTGACCAAAGCCACAATTGTTTTCTAAACATCACCAAGAATTAAACACATTTTAAAAAGCACTCGTCCCCAAGTCCTCATAATGATCTTGTTTGAAAAAGCCTTTTTTCAATGCCTTTGATTTACTGACCTGAAACAAAAAACAATTTCCCTCTAGAGGACAATAAAAGAATGAAGTGATTAATAAAATACTCTTGAAAGGACAAGTGAAAAAAGAGAAACGGAGGTGCTTCTCTGTCTTTTATTGTTATTTTTCCAGTTATGCTAACTCTACAAATAAACACTCTTAAAAATGCACAGACAGCCTGACTGGAAGATTAATTTCCCCCTTGACCTCCAGTTTTGCAAATCTGTATCCATCCACCGCAGAGGTGCTTTGGATAAAACAGCAGAAGTTCTGCATGGAAGCTCTGAAAGGTTAAACACACTCTCACTTATTCTGCGCTCATTACATCCTCCCTCACTCATACTCACTGTTCTTAGCTGTTACTCAGCAGATGTGTCACAATATCTTTTTCTCTTTTTACCCTTTTCTCCTTGAGTTTTTCCTCAAGCTTCCCTCTCTTTTGCATAGTCCAGCACATATTGATTTTATTCCTCTCTTTGCACTTCCTCCTTTCTCCCTCCCGATTTGATTTTTCAACCCCCTCTCATCTACACAAATAACATTTCCTCCTCTTCCCCCTCATTTCTTATGATTTCCCAGAATGCTCCACACTTTCCTCTCCAGTGTGTGTCCCTGTCTTATCCCCTCATTCCGTCTTCATCAAACAAACAGCTACATTATTCAGCACAGGGAAGAGAGAGTCAGAGAGGCCCTGTGGGTTAATCTATCACCCTCATCCACCAATCAGAGCTCTGCCCTGTTCTTATCTCTGTGTCCTGGTTGGATGGTGAAGCTGCCCGTCAAACTACACTGGGGTCCAGATGATTGTGCATGCAGACTAGCGAGCCTGCAATACCCTCTCCATCTCAATCACACAGGCTTGGCAAGTGAACACACACACACACACACACACACACACACACACACACACACACACACACACACACACACACACACACACACACACACACAAACAAGCGGCATGCACATAACACTCACTCTTGATTTTCTGACTAATACACACACTCACTCACACACTCTCTGGAAGAGACTGGAGAAGCTAACGAGCATGTGACATTGGGAAGGGTGAATAAGGAAACACACATATCCTCACACACACTTTCTCACACACACCCTCACACACGCTACATCCGTATGCATAAATCAATAGCCGTGCTATGGCTGCATTTACTAAGGTCAACTAGGGCTCAGGCTGACGGGAAATAAGAGGACAGTGTGTGTGTGTGGGTGTGTGTGGGGGGGATGCGACAGTTAGACTGAGGGACTAATGAAAGCATCTCTAAAAGGAAAGGTTGTGGGGTGAGGTAGAGCAGGTGAGAAATGCATAAAAAGGGAGATGAAAAAAGAGAAAATGAGACAAAGGAATGAAGAGGGCGGGTGGAGGAGAGGACAGGGCACACGTGCACGAGGAGGACAGTTAAATGGAGGCTGGAGATGGCTTGGGTCAATAGGGGAGATGATAGAGAGATGAGCAGAAGGAAGAAAGGAAGGACGAGAGAGGGCGAGGAAAGGGCTGTGAACCCATTTGCTGAGCTCAGGTGTTTTGGTGGCTCTGTCATGTCTCTAAAAACAACAGACTATTTGATTCCTCAACTGCTTTGAGAGGCCAGTCTGGGTCAGAGCCTATGACTGGCATTTATTTATCCACTCCTTCGCTGTTCTTTTCTCAGTCGGGGGATGAACTGAGACCGAGGTGCCACTCACGACCACTTCATGGGTCTCCCTGGAGGTAAAATTTACAACCTGGGTTTACTAATTTCATATTTGGCCATCACTGTCAGGAATAAGAAATTGCTGACGTCAATAACTGGAGCAGACGTGGTTAAAACGCTGAGTGAGTGGTCAGGCAGACAGAGGGGTTACTATGAAGCATGTTTGTCACTTGGGCTTTGTTGACATGTAAAACAATCACTTTGTTTGCATGTTGTTCAAAAATAGATGTGTTGCATTTCTCCAACTGAACCTGAACTTCAAAACTACATGTAAACACATTAGTCCGGCTAAAATCCCAAGAGATCAAACTTCTTATCGTCGGACAAAACATTCTCAAAATTAAAAAGAATTAGCTGATAGCCAATATCAGACTCGTTCTGCCAAGCGGTGATGAAGTGGAGCCTGTACATTTAAAAGTAAAACTCTGTTTCACCCATGCACAGTCTTTATCCGTGACCCCAACAAGACACACCAAGAATTGATTTGTACTTGAACAACATATTTTGCAGTGTGACCTCTTGATTAAGCTGCCACATAAGGTTAGGGATAGGTAGAGGACATGAATTTGTGTATAATAAGTTCATATAGTGGCAGAGCAGTCTGACTGATAGCACTGAAGGACCAGTGAAAAGAAGAGCACATAAAGAGTCAACAAAAAGCTTAACCACAAAACTGCCCCTGAGTTACTTTCTTTCCAGGATCTCTAAGTAGCATACTGTTTTAAAAAAATGTGTCTAGCACCAACTCCAGGGAGGCTGTTTATAGATTTGTTGACTCTGCTTCTATTTTTCACAGCACCATCGTCATTTTACATTGTAACTCAGAGCTCCAGTGAATTTTCTCTTTATTTTGTATTCCTTTCATGTTTTAGAGCCACACTTCAATTATTAATCCCTTTTACTTTCTAAACTTATACGTGCTTATTTCTGTCACCATACTGCTGCAACAACCCAATTCCCCGCTTGGGATCAATAAAATTTTATCTCATCTTGTATCTTATCTTGAATTATTCAGACTGCTGGGGGAAAGAGATACACACTTTTATTTTATTGTAATTTATTCCCCAGCATGCCGCCCTGAGTCGTCTCAGGCAGTGGCCTCTCCCACTGCTGCACAACCTCTCTCCTTCTGCTAGAGCTCAGTGCAAGGGCAGGCTGGAGTGACACTACCATGATTTACCATGGTGACACACAGAAAACACAATGGGTTTGTGTTTGTATATGATCTTTCTTGGTCATAAAGCTAATACACGAATGTACTTCCACTACTTTTCTGCCTATTCAGGCTCATCAGAAAACACACAGAGACATGTTTGTATCAAAGATACTCTGATCTGCAGGCATGACGTGTTTTTGATTTCATTTCTCTGTTAACACAATAATTATGAAAGAAATAACAATCATACACACAAGAGAGGCTTCAATTTCTAACAAAAACGGTTAACACAAACTGCACTTTAATCCTCAATTTTATAGATAAATGGATAAAGGCTTTTAAACTATCCTTTGTCAGGGTGTGTGGGGCTTAAGACAACCCTGAGGCTCCCCCTCTTTGCTGGTATTACTTTAGCTTTAAGGGCACCTGGTTTTATCTGGAGTTCAGCACCTAACCAATGTAAGCACAGGGTAACAGCTGCCAAATTTGACTTTTTCAGGACATGTCACAATACCCGGTCAGTTTCCCTGTTGGTTTTAGACTTAAATCTAACAGTGATGAGTAAATGAATACTGACAGCCCAACAAAAAAGGTATTATTAATATTGCTTAGACACTATGCTGTTTTCTATTACAGCAGATCAATTTCTTGGTTAATTCTTGCTGGTTTAGGGTTTAAGATTGTTTATACTCATGTCTGTGGTTATTCCTTAGTCATTTATCCAGAACTGTCTGTTCATATAAAGTCAGTCTACTGATAACTACAGTTCTAACATTTCTATGTCACTGTCTTATAATAGTACATTATCAGGACATTATGTTCACAAAGTATAATAATAATAATGTTGGTCCAGAGCAGTTTTGTGTCGTCTAATCTGCTTTAAGTAAGGATTACAGCGTGTCTTCAGTCTTACAGACAGCGTGACTCAACATCTGAAAAAGCCTGTCCTCCACAGTCTCCTGTGTTTACTATGCAAATATGACACCACTATGTCACTCAGCAGATGACCTGTTTTCTGTTCAGGGGGGACAGACGTCAAACAGCGTCTTTGACTTTTGAATCTTGTTATTATGATCACGACAAAAACAACATGTTTCGAGAACAGCAGGTGTGGAGCTCAAGAGAAATGGAGTGTTGGGCGTCTGTAATTGCTAAAAAGGCTCAGAAACTGTCATCTGAAAAGACCAGAGGAGCACAAAAACCTCTTCTCTGTCTGTAATCTCTTTTGGGACCTGAAAGACAGAAAAAATATTACAAGTTAGCACACTGAGGTCCATTATTCAGTGGGCTGTTCTGGGTTTGAGTGTTCTTTAGCATGAAGTATAACAAGACAAGCCAAAGCATGCATCAAATTATAAAAAACAGTACTGTAGAAATAAATACAAAATAAATTGTTGCATTTTTAATATAATTAAAATATATTTGAATCAAAAAAAGTAAAAGTCTTATAGGATGTGCCCAGAGCAAACGAGACAAACAACACTTTACAAATCGATTTAGGTAGTTTGACCTTTGGGTCCCCAAATCTGAAGATACCATTGTTTTTAGGCCATTAATCTCTTTTGATGGACCTGACTCCTCTTAGGTTAAGACAAGTGATACTGGGTGAGAATATCATTGACAGGACATAATAAGCATATTGTCATGACATTTATCTGATTGCCCTTTTCTGTTTGCTCTTTTGTTGTCTTTGTAGGAGTTGGATGGTACAAACATTTCTGTTTTTTTTTTTTTTTCTGCAGGCACAAATACTTACAAAACAGGATTTCTAAAAAGTGTTAGTGTTGAGTTTTGCTGGAAATAAAGCCACAGTTAAAGGATAACGCTGAGGGGGTCCATACAATAGTGATACTGATGTCCTGACAGTGACTGTGTGGAAGACAATGTGTCACTCCCTAAGCTGTAAACCACAGACTCTAAAGACACGGGTAATTTCTTCAACCCAATTCCTGGGTTTTACATGTTGAGTTAAATTTCCAGGTTATTTTTCAGATCCATACCCATTTCTTGGGCCGTATGAATTCTATTGTAACCCAATTTGAAGGTTATTTGAATGGGTTAATAATTATGGGTTATTTTTTTGAGAGTAACCCAAAAATTGGTGGGTCAGAAAGTTGGGTTGTTTTTAACCCAGGGGTTTTTAGAGTGTAAAAGTACAGTGAAACCAGTTCTGCTTGGTCTGGTTCCACAGTGGGAATTAGCTACAAGCAAGAGTCCCAGAAAGGATACAAGTGACCGATGCAGGAGTAATGTCTACTGATATTATTGTCATCCATGCAAAGAACCTGCAGCTTCCCCTGAAATTAAGTCTGTCATTTTGGCAGAGATTAACCCTAACTTAAATTATATTGCATACTGAAGTTCTTCGAGTTGGTATACTTAAGTCATATCTGCTTTCCCTCGTTTCTTTCTGTGGAGTGTAACTATGGGGGTTTGTGGGGTCATAGATATAATAGGAGTACATCAAACCCCTTAACGTTACCATGCAAGAAAGTACTCTCCCCTCTTATGCATAAACACTGGATCTAGTTTTAGGCTAAGGTTTCATGTATTCATGCCAGATTTTGTTGCCTACTCAGTGGATACTTATTTCACATGCTGAGGAACGTTTGACATTTAATGTGAAAGACTTGATTTGGATGAGTTGTTTCCGCTCAAATCTGCATTGTTTTGTCGAAAGTGGACAGTTTTTTAAGTAAGGTAGTAAGTGGACAATCAGTCATTAGGCTGCATATCAAAGAATCAGAAATCTTATCCAGCATGTTGGGATATTGTCTGTCAATTCTTGTCTGTAATGTAATGTAACCCTTTAAACTAAGTCATATCCTGTTTCTGCCAGTGTTTGTTGAGCTTTTGTGAAATACTGTCATAAAATATGCATAGTAAAGTGATATCATACTTACCTACAAAAGTGGATGACAGCATCCTCCCAGATATCACATTTGTCACATCAGATTCCAGAGCCTGTGTCTTTTGGCGCTTTAAGATAGGATAATCCTTTATTAGTCCTACAGGGGGAAATTTTATCTCCACTGTTTTTATTTGGTCAACAAAACTGATCACAATGTTTTGTAGGGCATATTACACAGAATTAATTCTGCGCTTTGCTGTATTAATCCAAGAGAAGAGTTGTCTCTGAAAGGTTTCTAAGGCAACTACAGACCTGTGTTTCCTGCTTTGCTGCCTGGCGACTGACAGTAAGCAGACAGAAAGTGAATGCAGCGTTTATATAAAAGTGCTTTAACTCTGAGTGTCAAACAAGAATAACAGCTCTGTTCTGAGGCTGTGTGATGAAGTAGCTCTCACTGCTGAGATTGAAGACAACAGCAGTACAACTAAAATGGAGGGTGACGTCTAAAGCACCAAGACTTCACATCAGACCTGCTGTGATCTTAATTCTCAAAGATTTCCATGAAACAGTTTCACAGAGTGTGAGCACGACATGAAGACTCTGTAACTCAGCAGCAGGGCACCTACACATCAGTGCAGTGGAATCTAAATCTCTTTGGCCCACTTTGAGAGTTATAATTTTAGATGCAGCACTGCAGTGAGGTGCTAAAGCCAAAGGCCTCTTCAAGTGCCAGTGAGAGGCAGATGAAAGAGCTGCATGAAGCAGAAAACAAAGATTAGCTTGAAACAGGAGTTCAAATTCAGCTGAATCTTTATTTGTAATCTGGTGTGGAACATGAGATTGGGTGTTTCTGAATCATTCTGTGGATTGAACCTTTAAATCATCATTTATACTCCACTCTAAATTACTTGTTGAGCCTACTGGGATTCCCCACAACAATGCAGACTAACTCTACCTTAGACACTTCATGAATGACAAGTATGATATTCTTGCCCTAAAAAAAGTATTTTATGTAGTGTTGTATCCTAAAAAAGTTTTTCGAATTTTAATGACTGTAATGTCAGTGTCAAAAGGACAAAACCCTGGAGCTCCTCGACATGCAGCATGCTAATAATGGAAATGCTGTGACACTGACTGCACCAATAATGACTTATTTGGCACATGGGACACTTGGTGCAGCTGGAAGCCAGGAGTCCATATATAACTCATTTGGATGGATTATCTGAAATTGAACGACTCTGAGCCAGCAGGAATCTGTCACTAATTCACTGTGACAACCCAACTCTGGGTATGTCTTTGCATGATATCATCAGTTTAGGTCCTGATACTTGATAAGCTGCTTAAGTTTTTGGATATCTTTTTAAAGCTTACTGTGTCTGAGGAATATAGTGTCAATCCAGTCAATGTTGACCAGAAAAAAAGGCTTTATGGATATGAAACCAACCCGTGGACATAGTGAACTGTGTTTAGAAACATTCTTATATTAGAGCTGTTGATAGCAAACTGACCCTCCAGCTCTCCACAGACGTAAAGGTAGAGAGGTAAAAAAAGAGTAATTAACAAAAAGGTAACAGTAAGTGAGCCAAAAACCCTGACCATGCATTTAATGACCAAAAAGACCAAGACCAGGCTTTTCAATGAACAGATATTTAAAAAATACAATCAGTTTAATTAATCCCTGAAAGAGACTACAACACGACAGTTCCTGATCGAGGTGTTTTATTTTCTTATCACATCACAAAAAGAAAAAAAAAACAGAGACACAGAAATAGTTAACAATTTAGAGGTGTAAGAAAGTGACACATTCAAGTGTAACTCAACCCCCGACTACTTTTTATTCAGTTAAAAAAAAAAAAACGTATGTATTTAGATTGAAGGCTCTATTTTCGTGTCCGCCGGTGAGGTGACGGAGGGTGGCGGACCCCGCGCAGTTGTATTTTCGTCTGGCGGAGCCCGGCGTACAGCCACTTCGGTATTTTCGTGGACTGAGGCGCACAGAGGCAAACCAAGATCCGCCAAGCTGGGCGTGGTGGCGTGGCAGGGGGAGGTGTCGACAGAATCAGCAGACGCAGTGACATGGTCACTCCACGCCCTCTCTCCTCCCTCGCTATGACTTACACTGCTGGGAGGAGCTGAGTTAGGGAGGGGGGATACTTAAGCAGGGCTGCGCCGCCCACCAAAATACCAAATTGTGCTTGGGAACGCCTTGTCAGCGCGGCGGACCTCACTTATGCCGCGCATGTGCCACGTCGCCGGTGAGGCAAGAAAATAGAGCCCTGAGTGTTGATCAGATAAAGTCTGAATCTCAGGGTTTGAGGACAAAGTCTTCAAATTCTTCACATCATGTCAGAAACATGCCAGCAGCTGCTTTCTACAGGTTGAAACCTGCTTACTGCAATTGAAATTTTCAATTGGCTGATCAAGTGCACACTTCCATTGGTGATCCCTATAAAGATGTTCATCATTTGACTCAGCAAACTGGGAGGAGAGAAGAATGAGAGAGTGTAGTGTACTGGTAAGTCTGTTATTGCAGTTGTTGGATTTTTCTGTCAGCTTGGGTTATCTAGTGAATAAGAAATGTGGCTTGTTGTTCGACTTTGTATCAGTTATTTAGTTGTGTTTTCTTGCAGACATGGCAGGTTGGATTTGTTGGTTGCATGAATTGGGCTAACAAAACCTCAATCTCCAGCCCTGAACTGGGCTTTGCAATCATCCCCAGAAACTCTTTGTCATTAAAGTTAACTCGACTCTTTCTGAACTGACCTAAGTGAAATTTAACGCAGTGCCAGATGTTGCTCTACAGTCAACTCTTTTTAGTACTGAGATGTGTATGAAGAGTGTTTGTAACAGGTGCTCCTTTTAAAATAACATAACTGAATTGCTAATGTTATAGCAAGATTACCGTTAATGGTAAATTAAGTAAGGGTAACACTAATGGATTTGCCAGCAGTGCTCTTACGTGTGAACCATTAATGTCTGAAGCAGCCATCACAACAGTCCTGCCACAGGTTCAATACTCAAGATAAACAGAATGAGAAAAGGATATCAAGGTGAATAATTGTAACAAAGTATAGATGTGGATTTGAATTTTTTTTTTTCAATAAATTTTGCTAGCAAAAACATCCTCTAATAAAGAATACTTATAAAAACTCTTTTTTTTTTTGTATTTGGCGTGTTAGCCTCTCTCTTTTTGTTCGTTTTAAAGAAAAAAATCTTCATGTTTGATTGAATCTTCCATGCATTTACTGAAGTGGAGAGAAGTGTGTACAAGATTGTTTGTAAAAATCATCAAATTATAAGCTGGCACTTGTTGCATGCTAACATTTGTAGTGGCTGGCAGTCAATATTGGTTGCATTGCTTGGTTAATATGCTGGCTAGCTTGCTTGTGAACAAAGCTAAAAGCCAACTGTTTGTTGACAGAGCCTCATGCTCTGAAGTTACATCTGCTATGTAAGCAAAGTATTTGTAACATATTCAGTTTCAGTGCTATCAGCCCTCTGAATGACCATGATCAGATAATAACTGGGGCACTCATCCGCTGTAATCAGTTTCTATTTTAGCCTCTGGTCCAGACCTGTTTGACCAGACAAACTCTTGACTTTGCTGACTATGCTGAGCAATAAACCAAGATATATTTCATGTTTAATTTTGGTAAAACAAAAGGAATCAGGATCTGCTTTCTTCCATCAAAAATGAATGTGTAAACATGAAATGTGTAAACATTACACAGTCTGGGTTTCAGACCTCTTTGTGGCCATCACCTGATGAAATTTTCCCAATGACGCCTTTCAAACTTGTTTTTGGCTCTCCACCTATTGCAGCTGAACAGCTTGGCCTTGTCCTTGTTTACAGAGTAGACCATTGGGATCTATATGTAAGGTGGAAACACCCATGTTTACATAGCAGGACTGAACCTGGTGGCAGTTTTAATTACAACAAAGGAAAAACATAGGAGAAGTCACAGGATGGGCTGAAGATATAAGCAGAACAAACACAGGACTTTCACCTGACAGATCCATAGGTCTTCATGCTGCATCCTGAATCAAGACTGTATTCATTCCTCATTGTAAACCGCTGTAAAAAGCAAATTATGATACTCTGCAAATCACCTGGAACCTTTGTCTGAATAAAAATAGAGAAAAGAAAATATACCAAACATTAAAACGGAAAGATGTTGTTTCATAAGTAACATAACCTTATGTTTGATAAGGTTAAATTTGATGCTAGCAACACACTCTGGACAGGGAACACAATTCACTGTATTCCTAAAATAACACCTAAAGGACCAGTCCCCAAGTAATTAGGTAAACGTGC